TTGGTGATGCTATGCAAGTATTAAACGACTATGCTATACTTCTAGCTCCAATATTTTAAGTCTGTAGCTTCTAAAATTCTCACTGACTTTAACACTAGACTTCAAGGCCCCTGATGCTCGATCATATCTTTATTCCTATAGTTCTTGTCAATATCTTTACTAATTTTATATACACTTGTTGAAATTCCAGGGAGTAAGTTAAATTCTCATCATCCAGTTAGGACAGGCATCATCTAAAGAACTTACAAATGCAACGAACAAGCCAATACACTAATTCTATTCTATAAACATGTTTTCACAACACAGGTCCCCACACAGAGAGGAAAAAGGGACATAAACTAGGCACAAGCCAAGACAGTTCTGGTGTATGTAGAGAGGAGCAGCCAGCCATAGGGTAAAAGGAAATTTAGCTAAAATTACTGCAGGGAAATATGCAAATGTATGTTTGCATTTGAGCATGTAATATACTGAAAAGATGTATTTCCAAAAGGATACACAGGAAATCAGATCTGGCCACCCCTGGATAGAAAAGTTGGGAGGCAAGTAGACAGCATAGGAATTTGCTTATGTACCACTCTATGCTTACAACCACATATTTTGAAATTTCAAAACTGTATTTGACAGCTGGTTTACTGGCAAAACGGTATTTCTTGACTTCAAAGATAACTACAATGGGAGGGGGGCTAGCGAAATGGCTCAGCAATTATGAGCACTGGCTGACCTTACAGAAGACACAGGTTCAAATCCAAGTACCCACATGACAACTCACAACCATCCATAACTCCATTTCCAGGGAATTCAACGTCCTCTTCTATCCTACACAGGCACTGCATGACATGGGTGCACCTACCTACATGCAGGCAATACACTCATACACTTAAAAAAAAAAAAAATAAATAAATAAATAAATAAATAAATAAATAAAGGGAAGTTTGTGGTGTACTTTCTAAATTTGAAAACTCAAGGGTTGTTAGTCCATCTCTGGCTTCCAATTTCTTCATGCAGCAAGTGACTAAACGCAAACAAAACCATGTGTATCAAATGCTCTGTGCCATAGCATGCTTCTTTAAACAGACGCAGTTGTGGCCTTCTACAAGCAGTGAAGCTTTCCATGTATTCCAACATTGAAATTCAACCTGGTACCACAGGGACACCCTAAACAGCTCCATTTCTACAGATATAGAGAGCATGTGAGCCTTGTAAATGAACTGCATAAACTTCACTGGTAAATGACTTGTCATGTTTTTACTATCAGTTGCTACTTTTACTGATGTCAATTAACAGAGATTCTCCAAGATCCTTTCCCAAAGCATGGGATTTTAAATGATAATATACGGAATATTTGTCACAAGATCCTTCCATCCTGACTTTGATTCACCTATTCTTAATAAAAAATTACAACTTTAAAAGCCATGTTTAATTGGCACGTTTTGTGTTGCTTGGAATCCCAAGTGGGTCTGTGAGCACACTCCCACACTCTACCATCCAGCTACATTCAATGCCCCAATCAGTAGGTCTTCGTTTCTGTACTCTCTAAAACTACTGCATGTACTTTATCTGATCCCTGCCTGTAGTCAGAGGTGCTCAAATGAAACCTCCCCCAAACTGCTAATTACCTGAAAAACAAATCCGACTACTGCCATGTTTTCCTTAAAACTTTCTTTTGGATTTATTGTGCTAGTGTGCATAGCATGGTGTTTGTGGAATTTAGAGAGGCTGAAGGAGTTTGTTCTCTCCTCCTACCATGTGTGTGGACCCCAGGGATGAAAAGTGAGGTCTTCAGGCTTGGCAGCAAGCACCTTTACTTAATGGGTCTCACCAGTCCCACCAACTTCTACCTTTTAAAAGACTAGGCTGCCTTTGAAGTCTTGCCTTAGCCCCCCAAGTAGATGGGAACATAGGCACAAGCCACTGTGCATGAACATCAGTCTTTCGAAGTCTCTTTATGGCTCTTCCTAATGATAGAACTGTATCTGACTAGTTTTCCATGCTTACTACGGGTTCCCACCAGCTGTGTGCACATTTACTAGTTCCCAACCTTGTCTAGTAGCAGACATTATCAGACCATATCCACTACCCAAAACAGATATAATTTACTGGAAAATTGTATTTGTACCGGTCCAAATCCCTGGACAACAGGACTCCCAACTCCTATTTTGCATTAACAATACACATCTTTGAGTTTTCCTTCCTTCAGCCTGCCTTTCAATTCATGTGAATGCAAAACAAGTCTCAAAATATTAACATTACTTCCAATAATGCTTGACAACCTTTGATCTACCATAAGACCTTATCTGCATCTTTTTTTTCCCGTCTTTTTTTATAATCAGTCATTTCCTCTATCTTCTGTCACTAATCTGGAGTTGTGCGCAGAAAAGGTGTCCCTTCTAATACCCCACATTGGCTTCATTAATCCTAAAAGGAGTAAACACTAGTTTGATTGGTGCTTTTATTCCATTACCCATACCTACTACAGAGCTGGCCATTAACAAAAATGATGGTTATTTCTTTTGTAAAACACATTCTTGCCCAGGAATTCATAGTCCTCCTGCCTCAGCCATCTGAAGATTGGCATTAAAATGGCACCCAGCTTGTAGTGTCTTCTTACCTAAGCAAAAGCAATATACTATTCGCAAACAATCTAACAATTCATTCATAAACCCTATATATTTTTATAACATCTTTTATTGTATTAACCAAATACTGTGCTAGCTTCTTAGCTACAAAATACTCATATTAGCCTTTTACTACACATTAAGCTTCCCTTAACAAAATGGGTACGGAAGTGTTTCAGAACTTGCAAGTTGGTGGGTGAGGAGTCAGGAGTATTTGCAAATATACAATGAGGTTTCCTGGGGATAAAACACAAGCCTAAATATGAATTATATTCATATAGGCTTTTACATCCAGAGTGAACTAATTCTCAGTATTTTTATGTGCTTCAGTTTTGACTTTTAGCCCTCATACGGATATCTCTACTTATGGCATCCTGTCAGTGCTCAAGAGTTTCGGATTTGGAACTATTTGGTTTTCAGGATGACCTAGAAAATATTATTCACTTGCCTCCAAATGCTGCGGTAATAAGTGTATTTTGTCGTATCTACCTATAAATTACTTTTAACATGATAAAATTACCTTAAAAGAACCCAAACTCATTCTGTTACTCAGACTACTGTGTTTGTAAGCATGGTAGCCAAAGGAAAATTATTAAAGGATGAACAGGAATATTATCAAAACAGTTGAGTGGTCTAATGTAGTGAAAATTACTTCTAGCCTTAGTACTACAGTACTAAAGAAGGGAAGCCTGGGGTAAGGCTAGGAACCAGTGATAGGATAAGAAAAAAAAACATGGGAACTTAAGGAACTAGCAAAGATACTGGATGATATACAAAAATCCATGAAACACTTATGACTATTTCAAAGTGCTAATAGCCTTAAAATCCTATTCCCAGTTCACTCTGGCATATAAGGATACTTAACCATTTTATTAAATGTATTAGTACACTTATATTTCCTATATCAGCCATATAAAGTTTTAGCTAACTTGAGCCCATTTGTGTTGCAAAAGTACCACTGTAGTGTGGTTTTAACAGTTTTGTCAATAATGTAAACTCAAAGTTTCAAAATCCTTTCCAAATATTGTATTATATATTCATCTCCAAGTCTTATCATCTGAGGCCACAATGAGACGGAAAGAAGGAACTGCTATAGAACTCTCCAGACTTGGTGGCTTTCACATTCTAATTACAGCTTACTATAAATTCACGGTACACACTTAAAATGAAGGTACATGGCACTTTTTCCCAAATGAAAACAAAAACCAAAATAAGAAATGCATATCATTTAAAGATTAATTTGCTCTTCTTAGAAATACTTAAAACCATTGTAAAAGCAATTCAGAAAAGTAAACTATATGCTTTTTAGGTAAATTTTAGTATCTGCAATCCACCCAGGGAACAGTGAATGTACTAACCAGAGGTACTGTAGGTACAGGACATTTGCCCGACAGGCCCCAGGGTTTAATCCCCAACGCAACAAAAAGGATTATACTAACTCAAAGGTCACAATGAAGTGAGTGAGTATCTGAAAACACCAGGGCAATATGGTGGCCTTTATTTAAAGGTACTTGAATATTTCAATAATCAACACAAACACCAATTCAGAGATATGTCTTTTTAGGTTTAGTTGTTTTGGTCTTTTTGAGACAAGGTCTCCCTGTTGCCCCAGCTGGAATTCACGATCAGGATGGTCTCAATCTCACAGAGACTCACCTGCCTCTGCTTCCCAAGTGAGGTAAAGGCATGCATGCCCAGCCAGATAAATGTTTTGAAAGTAGTATCTAAGTATATATTATATGTTAACATACTTTTACACTATAATTTGTGGTTCTCCCCCCCCCCCCCCCGCCGCCCCATGCATGCTGGTCAAGAGCTCTACCACAGAATTACATTTCTCAATGATTGTTTTCAACTCAACCTTAGCCAGGAGTGATGGTGCACATGCCTCTGATCCTAGCATTCAAGAGGCAGAGGCAGGAGATCTGTTCTGACTTTCAGGCCAGTTGAGAACACCAGGAGAACCTGCCTCAAAAGGCCTTTAGAAAAAGAAAAGTGTGTAGATGTATACAAACAACTTATTTGTACAAACCTGCATGAGGACTAGGACCATCAGAACGATTTTGTCATTTTAACTACTAGAATCATCATCAGTGTAAAGAATTACCTACAGGATGTGAATATGGAAAACTTTCACTATTATTCCAGGAATTTCCTTACAAGTTCCTAGAACCCAACTTTTTTCCACTTATGTTGGTTTTAATCTTCTCTTCAACTCACACAAAAGCAAAAGGGAACAAGCTGATTGGCACTGTTTCACACTCAATAGAAAGGCCTTTTCCTGTAGGCAATTTAAGTAGTAGGCTTTCAGTCTTCATGCTTGGGGAATCCAATTCCAAACACCACAGTACTTTGTAGAGTTGATACACAGAACATACACTGCAATTTTAGTTTAAAATTTTTATTTCACTTGTTAAAATTTGTCTTCTCCGACACTGTCAACCTGGTAATTCATTTTCCAGTCTCAGAGCAAGATGTCTTGATGCTCATCCATTCAACCATTTTCTCCTCCCTTTCGCTTCAGTGTGCTTATTCTTTCATAACATTCTATTCAAAACTGGGGAAGTCATATTTTTGATTGGCTCTTCTTAGTCTGACACTCTAGTACAATGGTGTAGATGTTTAAGATCTTTTCGTCCTTCCATATTTCTCTGGCCACATATACTAGACTTCAACCTTAAATGGAAGAATAGATTCTATTTTCTTTACTGTTACAGGAACCAGTTGAGATAAACATGTTCAATAAATACTTATTGAATGAAAATACTATCTAAGACTCTCATTCACACACTTTTATTGGTACTGAATTATCTATTCCTTTCATTATATAGCGTAGCTCACACTGATCTTGAACTTAGGATACCTTGCTTTAGTGTTCTGAGAGATCAGATTACAGGTATGCATCAAGATTGTCTTAGAAAAAACTCACTTTAAAACTTTAAATCATTTCTTTCTCCTGAAATTTCTTTCATCAGTTAAAAAAATAAAGCCATCACTTAGATTCCTAGGATTTAGTTCTAGTAAACCCTTAAGACACCAAAATGCAGTGTTAATAAAATGGCACAGAATCTGCACAGAACCTACACCACATTCTCTTATGTATTTTAAATCATAAGTCAGTTATAATCCAATACAGTGCAACATAAACCAGGTATAATGGACTGCTTAGGGAAAAACAAGAAAAAACTTTTACATATTCAGTGTAATTGAGTTTTCAATCCAAGACTGATTGAATCCACCAAGTTGGAACTCATGGAGAGGGCAGACTGTACTTAATGCCAAGCACTGCACGAATATTGTGAAAACTGGTGACAAATAAGACACGGGCACAAAACATATACACTTACAAAATAAAACAAATACAAAGAAATGATAAAATACTCATAAAAGAAACTGCAAAGCTATCTGGGAGGCAGAGGAACCACCTGAAGGTTTAGTAAGCAAGATGGAGAGGTATATTGAATGGAGAAGATGAACTGAGAATAAATCATATCAAGTCCTTTAGCTTAAAACACAGGTTTCATTCCACATGGGGAGGGTTGCATCTGAAAAAGGAAAAGGATGGGTGTGACTACTTGAAAAGGACTGGGTGGAGACAAACTGCAAAAGGAATAGAATGGTTAGGAAGCTGTCATTGTCATAGAAAGGGTTTTTCATAGTTTTTAAAAATCTCAAAAACCTGGAGAGGTGGCTGAATGGTTAAGAGCTGTGGCTTCTTTTTAGAGGACCTGGTCTGGCTCCCAGCACCTATATGGCAGCGAACAACTACCCTCAACTCTAGTTCCAGGGGATCCGACGCGCCCACTTCTGGCCACTATGGGCATTGCACACATGTGGTACACTTAAATGTATGCAGGTGAAACACTCATACAGATTTAAAAAAATCCAAAATCCAAACAAACCACTGCTAACACCAAAACATTAACAATTCCACCGAATTAGTAGACTTTCCTTTTCGTAGCTACAGTCTCTCACCATGGCTCTTGAAAACTTACCTTTGGTGCCTTGACCCTTCATTCCAACTGGAACCTCTTAGAAAACTTTGCATCCTCCTTTCTTCTGGTAATATGCTAATCCATTAAATTCATATCTGAATTATTCACCCAGGAATCAAACATTCCTCAATGCCATTAAATGTCCCTTCAATTATTGAATGTGTACCCAAGGACATCAGTGGTTTCTGCTTTGTAGAGCACTGCTACTAACACAGTTACACTAAAGCTTAGCTGCCTAGATAAAACTTCACTTTTAACTAGCAATGTGTGCTAGGGACTGCACATACCAACACTTCAGCTCTTCCTCTCAGCTATTATCCAGAACCTAAACCAATGTTTTTTGGCAGGCTAGCCTTAACCCCTTAGGCTTCTATTATGTGCTCAGGTTCTCTCCTGTAATTAGCCCTTTTAATTAAGTCATCTTGTCACCTGATAACCCCCTGCACCTCTCTTCTCCAAAAAATACAATTTGTTCAAAAGTTATCATTAGCCTCCCCAGTTTTCACAAAGTGGGAATTCACTTCTAAGTTTTTCAAGCACTTTCCTTTTATTAGTATTCTGTGTGTGATATCTGTGGGCACTCATGCCATGGAGGTCAGAGGAAAACTTACCAGAGTCAGTTTTCTCCATCCAAAATTGTGGGCTCTTGGGCAAGCACCTTTACCCACTGAACCACCTTGCTGGCCCTCAAAGCTCTACCTATGTCCATTATTACTATACTGTATCTCTTTGCATATAACCAACTAAACTTTAAATAATAACAACAGGGACCTGAGTTTGTTCACTTTTATACTTGCCGGAATAAGTACCATGCCTGTCCTTGAATCAGTGTAATTCATTCAAACACTTTAAGAACTTCCTAGAAAGTGAGTAAACCACTGCATGATGGACAAGATTCCTACTTTGCTAGGGCTGTATTTTCTTCTCTCCCTCCCTTGCCTCTTTTGTGATATTTCCAGGTTGAACCCAGAATCTCAAACATGGTAGGCAAGTGCTTAACACTCTGAGCTACATGCCCAGTCATTTTTGGGTTGTTAGTTTTCTTGAGACAGGTTCTCATTTAACCCAGGATAGCCACAAACTCACTATGTAGGTGAAAATGATCCTGAAATTTGTGATCTGCCTGGCAACACCACACCTGGCTGGCCAGATACTGAGATGGGACAAAAATTAAGAAAAAATAAACTCTTTATACAAACGTTAGAGAGAAATTCTGTATGACAATTTTTTTCAGGAGCAATTTTCTAAAATTCTTAGAGATTATCAAGTAGATAAAGCACAAATAATAAAAGTGAAAGAGTACAGTGTAAAAGTGCACAACTTACTTCCAGAGAACTGGGTGCTCAAAGCTGCTCTATGGCAAAGATCAACTATTTTTCTGCAAGAAATAAAACTCATACCACCACATTATGATGAATATACGCCAACTGTTATTTTTGTATTGCAGGGGACCACACCTAGGGTCTTGTTCATACTAAACAAGCTCTCTACATGCTCCAGTCCTACTTTAACCCTACATTATTCATGTCAGTAAGTTACCGTCTATAATGGAATTCTGAGATTATAATTGATGATATAAATTTGACAGTTACTATGCTATACTATTAAAGATTAGTGTGAACCACATAATCAATTTTAAGTTTCCAAGTAAAATGAAAAAGGAAGAAAAAGCAACAGCTGAGATTAGCGCAGTATAGTTTTTTTTTTTTTTTTTTTATTAAGCCCAATATATTCTGACTGTCACTCCAACAAATAGTTGAAATAAGCTATTTTAACATTTTTCCTTCATATTAGCCTTGGTGAACTAATTCTGATGCTCAATTTGCTTCAGAAAAACTTACCTATAATTGAATATAAAACTTAAGTGCCAAAAGACTAAAATATCACAGTGTTCAAAGAATGCTTAATACTATCTATATATATATTCAAAGCTGATTGTTATTGAATACAAAAGTGAAGGTGCAAAGGTAGATTTGCACATAGTTGAAAGTGCATTTAGTGCTGTGCTCATAACAACATTTTAAGTATAAATTATTCAGTCCCTCAATCTCACTAGTCCCATCCCAAAGTACTCAGTAAGCACACTAGCCACTGGCTGATCAGCACAGCTCCACAAAGATTCACTTCATCCAGTTACCTCTTCACAACTCATTAAATCAGCATAGGAGTCTTCTTTCTTTTTAGAATGGAACTTCATAGGCTCCCTTACCTAAAACAGCAGCTGCCATTTCCTTATCCTTGTGATTATATGGTGAGCTCCTTCCATTATATTTGCTCTTATCTACAACACCCCAGCTAGTGCCCTTAGAGTAAAACACCAGGAAAAACACTAGCCACAAATATATCCAGCACACCTTGATTACAAGAAGCAATGTTACAAGATTTACCTAGGTGTTCAGACACTGTTAAATTATTTTGCATATACTTAGTGCTATATATTGGCTTATAAAACAAATGAATAGACACTTGTGACAGAGTCTTTCTACCATATTAGACCAGAAATTTGAAAAATAACTCAAAATTATGAGAATCATAGTTTTGATCAACCTATGAAATCCTTAAGCTTAGTTTATTTAGCTCTAATCCTCGTGGGACAACCAACACATAAATTAGACATATTTTATTAGAAGGCCAAAAATTAGGAATGTGAACAAATACAAAGTTCAAGACATCTCCTTTAAAAATTATTATTAGGGCAAAGGATGCCTCTGAGAGCACTTCCTTAGAAGTATGTCTTTTTAAAAATAGGCTGATTACTCTATATGTTACACTGCACGCGCACACATACACATACATACACACACACACACACACACACACACACACAAAGCACTGAACTTTTGTAGAGACTTAATTCATTTTATTTTTACAGGACTTAATCACTTTTTGTCTAAAAGAAATTTGTGATAGATAATTGAACAGAAATGTGTCAAGGAATAACTTTGTATTTAAAAAGGTTTTCTTCTCTTGTTTAGTATATATTTGAATACTTCACTTTGAAATAAGTTGGTTACTTAACCCATCTCTATGCAGGAGGCCTATACTGTAGTTCTGGGTTTCTAAGAGCAAGGAATTTAACTCTTGGACAGAAGATAGAGAAAGCACAATGTTAAAAGCTAAAAGCTCAGGACATTCTTGATCACATATAAATGAACTACTACACAGCCAAACCCTGTTTTAGTTTACTAAAAAATGCTTAATCAATGGACATTTCCTGGAGAAAAATCACAACACACTAAATTCTATGCTAAGAAGATCTCTGGGAAGCAAAGTGACTGAAGATCTGGATTTCTACTGGAAACAAAGTTTCTTCCACGGATATTCTTTGCATACACTGATCTAAGACACAACCAGTGTTGGAACAAACTGTTATCAACATGAGTTCTCAATATGAACCAATGTTTTAAATATACTACTAATTTCCAATGTACTTCTTTTTTTAGGCATGGTCACACTATGTAATCCTGGCTGGACCGGAACTCAGAGATCCACCTGCCTCTGACTCTGGGAAGAAAGGCAAACACTAGCATAAGATTTGTTGACATTCACAAATAAATGAAATTATTTTCTCCTTTACCCCTGGATGAGTGTCATTTTCTAACATGACTAATGAAAATGAAACAATGCAAATGAGATGTTTGACATACTCCTAAATGATTATCAAATTTTTATTTTCTATCTAGAAAAGTAAAAGAAAAGCTTACAAGAAAGAAAACGTTAACCCATCACTGAATCCACTAAAATGCTATCATTTCAGATATATTTACCAGGATGCAAGTAAGCAAAGACCAAAACAGTTTTCCAATGCTGCCCCCATCAGGCTTAGGGGCATCCAAACACAAAAACACAAAAACTAAATTGTTAGGTTGTTTCAACACTAATGCCAGGATAGATGACAATCACATAAGTAAAAATTTTAATGAAAATTTCAAAATGTACTTTATGTGTGTGTGCATGGAGACCACAGGCAACCTCAGGTGCTGTCCATCTTTCTACCCCTCTGAGACAGGTTTTTTACACATGGGCTTGGAGCTTGCTAGACTGGCTGCCAGAAAGCTCAGGGGACCCACTTGTCTCTGCCATCTCATTAAACACAGTTTTCTATTTCCCTTCTTCACTTGCAATAATTAGGTTTGTGAATAAAAGTTTTTAAAAAAAAGTATAACACAAATATAAAGCACGCAGCAGTACAATGTCTAATCTGAAATGACGGATTTTGCAAAGCTTGTTAACTGGCAACAGCTTGAAATGCTTAGGGATGGATTACACTGGCATTGGACAGACATCCTAAAGCCTCTATAATGTACTAGCATATTGTTACCACATAAAATGGGGCAAGGAAACAAACCCAGGGCCAGGCATCACTGACATACATTCACCAGCCCTATGCCTCTTTTTAGAATCGAACCTTTAACGTTTTTAGTTGTTTGCCTTTAACGGCTTCGCTATCTCTCCAGCCCTATACCTCTTTTTAGAAACAACGTTTAACAGATTATACAACTGGGATCCTCAATCCACCAATTCTAGCATCACCCAGGAACCTGTTGGAA